TGATTACGGTGGTTGGAAGCATGCTACCATTGATGACCCAGTCTTCTTGATCCAGTATTGTGTCCTTCCAGGATCATACGCACGTGGGTGAGGAAGAGATTTCTCAAAAAATGTAAGCTTAGGTTTCACATGTTCTTCCTTGCTCTTGGGCTTTTCCATCTTAACCTTTGGCTTGCTTTCCTCATGCCGCTGATGGACTTCCTTCTTGTTCCTTTCCTCAACCTTTTACTCCGCAATGTAGTTAACTTAGTTTTTAGGTTGAGATGCAGGCAATGGAGCTTCACACTTAAGTACCTTGAATGTTGTTTGCTCTCCATTCACGCGCATTATTAACTCACCCTTAGGTACATCGATTAGCGCTCCTGAGGTTGCTAAGAATGGCCTCCCGAAGATAATAGGCATATTGGCATCTTCATCAATGTCAAGAATAACAAAATCAACAGGAATTAGAAATTTGTTTACCTTGACGAGCACATCTTCCACAATACCATGTGCTTGCTTTGTTGAGCGGTCATCCAGTTGAACATTCATCCTCGTTGGCTTGACTTCATCAATTCCCTGCTTCTTCATCAGGGTGAGGGGCATCACATTTATGCTGGCACCAAGATCGCATAAGACTGTCTCTACGGTCATCTTGCCGAGATATTGAAGCTCCCTGGATCCCTCAACTTTGGAGGCAAGTTTTTCTGTAGGATTGCACTGCACTCCTCTGTTAGTTTAACAGGTTTATCCTCAGTGAGCTTCTGCTTCTTAGACAATGTCTCCTTCAGGAAATTTGCATACGAAGGCATTTTCTCCAGAGCTTCTACAAAAGGAATGTTAATTTTCAATTTCTTAAAAATATCTAAACATTTAGACATTTGCTTTCTTTTGTTCATGTTGCTTGCTCCCCATGGGATATGGAGGTTTCTCAAAACGTGAGAAATTCCATTGCTTCTTCTGAACTACAGGAGATTGCTCTTTTGCTTCTTCCTTTCCTTATTGAGTGTGCTCATCCTTGCATGTAGGAGCTTTCATTTTTTCTAGATCCTCGCTTTTAATAGTGATGGCATTGCAGTGCTCCCTTGGGTTGATTATAGTGTCACTGGGGAATGTTCCAGGACTTCTCTCAGCTAATTGTCTCGGCAACTGCCCAATTTGAGTTTTCAGATTTCTGATTGAAGCATCTTGATTTTTATGATGAGCCCTGGTCTCGTTCATGAACGCTTCAGTTGCCTTTGTCAACTGTATCAGTGCTTTCTCTAGCTCAGATGTTGGAGTTTGTGAAATTGGAGGAGGTTGTAAATATTGGTCAGATTTGTAATCTAAACCTCCCCCTTGAAATCTCCTTTGGAAGTTGTTTCTGGAGCATTGTTCTGGTTTCTCTGGAAGTTCTGTTGTGGTCTTGGATCATACCAGACTCCATTAACTTGAAAGGAATCAGCTCCTACAAGTGTTGGGCATTCGTTGGTCTCATGCTCTCCTTTGCAATACTCACAGTTAAACGAGTTAACTTGAGCTGTAGAAAGTTGCATCTTTTCCAACTTAGCATTCAAACTGGCTATCTGTTGAGAAAGGGTCTTTTGTTCTGCTAGCGATGCATCATTGTTTCCCAATTGCAGAATTCCCCTTCTTGGTTGAACTGGTTGAATTGGTTGAACTGCCATTGATACGTTCTCAGCCCTCGCCATGAAGTCGATCAGCTCTAAAGTTTGAGCTGTTGTCTTCTTTGCTATGGTCCCACCGGCTGCACCATTGACAATCATTCTGGAGTCTGGTGTCATTCCATTATAGAAGACTCTGACCTTCTTTCCGTCTGGCAGATCATACGCGGGGCACCTCCTGATCAGTTCTTGGAATCTGGTCCAAGCTGCACATAGAGTTTCTCCTGGTTGTTGAGTGAAGTTGGTGATTTCATTCACCAACTTGTTGTATTTCTCCTTGGAGAAGTGCTCTGCGAATAATTTGGCTGCCAGCTCATCCCACGTTCTGATATTGTTGGGGGCTTATCTATCCAACCATCTAAGAGCTTTCCCTGTTACAGCAAAAGGGAATAGTCGGAGTCTAATTGCATCATCTGACACCCCGTTATGCTTGGTAGTATCACAGATTCTCAGAAATCTGTCTATGAAATCATGGGGGTCTTCATAATCTTCTCCGCCAAATGGGTTTTTCTCCACCAGGGTTATCAGTGCTGGCTGTATATCAAAATTATTGGCGTTGATTGGTGGTTTGATGATGCTAGAATTCGGCCTTGTGAACTGTGGAGCCAAGATTAACTACATCAATTCCTCCTCCGGTGGTGCTAGATTATTAGCTGCCATCTCAGGTTCAGCTTTTGGCTCTGAACTCGAGGATTCCTCTTGCTTCTTTAGTTTGGCGCTACTAGCGCGGGTTCCGTCTACTAGCGTGGAACTTCGATTTTGTACTTCCAAAATTTGGCTCCTTATTGTCCTTTTCCTACAAAATCAGAAGAAAATCAATTGTACGATCTCTGATTGAGATTTATCAAATTAAAAGTAATTACTGCTTTTTTATCCAAGATTCTTTATCTTTTTTACTTAGATTCACACATATGCTGGAGGCATATCATTGACGCTGCCAACTTGCGTCAATTTGCTGCGCTCTATTGTCAATACACTAAGGTGCTTGTTAGAGCATTCTCCAAGAACCTCGATTACTCTCGTAGCACTTTGCGATCTCGCGTCAAGGAAGTCAATATTTTGGTCACTCCTAATGATTTGGAGTAGCTCATTGGATGCAATTTCCAGTTGGAGGATGATGATGTGATCGCTAATGAGCCACTCACTTTTGATGGGATTAATTTCTCAGACTTCCATTCCTTTGACCGTGTTGAGTTAATGACTTCCATCCTCCGTCCTAGGGCTGCACGGACAAACCTGGTTCGACTCTCAGCCAAGAAGCTGATTATCTCTCCTCTCGAATCCTACTATATGTGATATCTCACATCATTCTCCCTAGGCATTCCAATCATGCCATTGTTCAGGAGAATGATCTCTTCACCATGTGGGCTATCCTTAATCAGCTTCCTATTGACTGGAGCCATACACTCTACTGTGAGATGCGAGATGCATCGTATGGCTCCTCTGCTCACCTGCCATATCCTATGCTCATTTAGCACATTATAGAGATTAAGGGTGTATCCATGGATGGTGAAGTGAAAAAGAAGCTCATGACTGGTCACAACTACTTTGGAGAGAAGCTACTTGCAAGATGCACATCATCAGCTTACATAGTCAGTGGCAATAGAATGATGAGGCCTTATATGATGACGCCTCTGCCGATGACATAAATGAGGATCCCAATACTCCACAGGCTGCTGATATGCCAGCAGATCCCTCTGCTGTTGACTCCACTTCCTCCGTTGCCTCCTCCACTTGCTCCCTGAGGCTACTCTTCTCATGACATCATTGTTTACCTTCAGTGGCAGGAAGCCACTCATATTTCCTTCCATCATGATATCTCTACTCACTTCACTCGCATTGAGTCTATTCTTGGTATTGCTCCTCCTGCTGGTGATGATGGTGCTTCTCGTGATGATGATGATGAGGCCACTACTTCAGACAAGGACACTTCCAGTGATGAGGAGATTCCTACAGCTTCTAGCTTTGAGGATGATGCTTAGTTTAGGATTTCTTGATGTTATTTTTTTCACTTTCTTAGCTAGGCTATGATTTTTGGGACACTTTGTACTCCTTTTTTATGATATATTTGAGTACTACACGTATCTTTTCATGTATGTATCTTTTTTTGCTTAATGCTATCAATCATGTTTTCCTTGAGATTTGATCGCCCTCTTATCTTTATTGCATACTCTTTTATGTTCTCTTCTATGTTGGATTACTTGTTTACTTTTGATGTAGCCTAAGGGGGAGAAATATATATTAAATTGAGAAAAATGCAACTAGTCAATTTGAAAGGTAAAAATGGGGAGATATTGAAACCTAAATGGAATAAACTAAACATGGTCTAAGAGGGAGTATTGGTTTTCAAATGAATAAATATATGCTACACTAACCCCCTTTCTCAATTTAAAGTTTGTCATCATCAAAAAGGGAGAGATTGAAGAATCAAAGTGATGATGTAGTTGCCACGTATTTGTTACACTTGATGATGCCACGTCAACATGGTTTTGATGATAAGAAACAAACTCAAAGAAGGATGCTCTAGATCCTTGAATGAAGCAACATCCAAAAGAAGTCAAGTCTATGTGAAAGCAATGCAAATCAAGCATCAAGTCTTAAAGCATGAAGGTAAGTCCAAGATCTCATTGGTACACTTATTTAGGACTTAAGAAAAATATGCAAAGGTGTATAGATTCTAGAATTGCATGAGCTCAAGTCGTACATATAGTTACCTAATCATAAAGTGCTTAAAAATCTTGGTTTAATAAGTCAAAAGTGCATCAAAAGGTCTTTAAAATAATTTAAGCACTTAAGCAGCCTTGCACAGTGTAATCACACATGTTCACGATCTTAAACCACTCAATTGAACTTAAAAGAATGCATCTTTAATACTAAGCTTTAAAGAAATGTCAAAATGAATAGTTTAATATGTCAAAATTGGTTTGGAAAGGAATTTACATGATCTAAACACTTCTAGATAGTTTCCATAACCAATTACATGTATTCCAAGTAATAGAAACCATTTTGAAAGGAAAGAAATTCAGATTTCGTGCAAAAAGGGTGTTACCAGGATACATCTCGTTTGCAATATCTCTAACCCTTATCTTTTCACATAAGCACTGTTAGATCATTTGCGTATATTTAATTTCATATCTTGCTAATTATTTGCTTGTGTTATTTACTAGTCTTTAGTCTCTACTTGTAGCAAATCATATATACTCAAAAAATTCATTTTCAAGAAAGAAAGTGGGGCTTTTTGCAAAAATATTTTTAAAACTCAATTTACCACCTCTTGAGTTTGAGGCCACTTATCCAAAACACTCAAACCTCGAGCACATGTAAGTGCAGTCATACATTAAAAAATAAACTCTCTTTCTTTTCCCGCTCTGTATTCCTCTGTTTGCATAAATTTTATTTCTGCATGAAACCTTAACAATTGAGACCACAAATTCAACATAACCCGTAACCCTGATCAGGTTTCAAAATTTGCATTTTACTTTATTTGTTACATCCTACAAATATAAAATATTGCATAAAATCATTGAAACCCTCTCCCATATCACACCATACATGCTCAAAATATAACTGTTTTATCTCTTCTACTTTCACGCTCTCTCTTTTTTTCTTTTTCTTTTTCTTTCTACAATATATAACTCTAGTAGCATTTTTTTTTTTTAATGTTTTGTTAACATTTTGTCTTATGCTTATCGATGAAACGAGGTCCAACATGTTGCAGACAGTAGAAGGATTTGGTTGCAACAATGCTACATAAATTAAAAAGCCTATTCAATGTATGTTTTCTTGCTATCATTCTTCCTTTGAAAAGTCTCTTGATCACATGATGGAACAATTAGGTTCCTGATATTGAGATGGGTGCCTTATGTCATAGACTGGGTACTGAGGAACACCACTCACATAAGGCCACACTATTGGTAGTGTAATTCCCTCTTCTTTCTTCTCTTCCACAGAGCCAACACTCACAAGTTCTGCATGGCCAAAACTCTTTCTTAGAAGTGATGTGAGACAAACTGAATCAATCCGTTCTCCAGTTACCGCTATTTGATCCTTGTTTTCCCCTTGAATAGCTGCAGTTTCCACTCCTGAAGATTTTGCAAAGAACATATATATTTTTTTAGCTATGATTTTGAACTTCATGAATAAAAAACGGTGAGAATTAATAATTGCCTGTAACTTTTCTTACCTGAAACTCCAACTGCAATCTTCATAGCTTTTGACCTGGACTTCGGGCTATTCATTGACACTTTTATCACCACCTTTTGTTGCAAGCATTTCAGAACCATAGATAACATTATTTGATGAGAAGAACAATATTTGACTAGATTTTTTTAATCTTTGAAATGAAACTAAGTAATAAATCTTTGATCACTATTATGTGACACAGAGGTTTATAACATTATATATATATATATATATATATATATATGTATATATACAAATGAAACTACATGGTGTAGTTAAAGAAGATTCCTTACCTTCACCATAATGTTGTTTAAGAGAAAATCTTGATAATGAGTTAGAAGAAGTGCTTGGAGAAAAGGGGTGTGAGAGTGGTTTATGGTTAAAGGAGTTGGACAAGTGCTTGGAGAAGTATTTGTGCATTTGGTATTTATAGGCATTTTTGTTGTTGTGGAATAAAACATGTCTTGAGGAAGTGTTTGATTTGAAGGGTAAACATGGTTTCGTAGAACCAGTCTTGAGAAAAAAAATTAATGCTTATTTTTAGTTATGGGAAACTGCTTAGCTCAATCGAGCGGCCATTGTTTTTGTCAAACCGCGTCATCATTGTGGAAAATATCCTTTCTGAAAATAGACGTGGTTGTTAGACAAGCTTTTCGCAATATCCATGAAACTAACAATTAAATTGAAGTCTCGTACAAAATTAATGTTGGGATAATTTTGAAAATAAGCATTATATTATAGAAGAAAATTTTTAATTTCATTAAAGGTAGTTGTACATATGCGTATTTACTGATGGACCATAGACGAGATTAGTCTGTCTAAGGACACTAGGAAATATATATTATATATGAGTTTGATGTATAAATATTTTTTTTATACTCAATAAAAGTATATGAAGCCCATGTTCAGATAAAAGTATATAAATATTTACAAACTTTTTATTTACAAACTCTTACAAACTACACTATATCTGATTGGTCATACTTCGATCAAAAGTGTATGACTGATCATACTTAGTGTAATTTGCATAAAAAATTTGTAAACTGATCCTTCTCATATATATATATATATATATATATATATATATATATAACACTGAAAAGGTATTTCTATCCTGTTTATCTATCTATATTTATATCCATACATCTGGTAACTAAAATTAACTTAAATTCAAAACATATTGTTAATGATCTTTTAAAAGTAGCCCAAATGTTCTCTCTTAATTGCAAAACTTATTTTCAAATTATATATAAAAAAAGAGCTCCCCTTTTAATAAATGGAAAAAAATATTTTTACTTTTGCTGTAGAAATTTTTTATCTGCCACACTTAGCTAAAAATGAGCGGACCCTATTTTGACAAGAAGAGAGAAAAAATTAATGGAATCTACTCACTTTTATGCGAGTATGGCAAAGAAAATTTTTGTAGAGCAAAATCAGAAAATGTTAAATCCTTAATAAATATCATAAATAATCCTCAAAATTAGAAGCCGGAAAGAAATTCTTCTACATATGGCGCTTTAGATAAAAGTTCATTTTCTTATCTATGTTCATTCAAAAAGTTACTTTTTTAAAGAGCTTTTATGAAAAAAAAAAATGTTTGGTATGATTTCTCCTTCTAAGAAGAAAAGTTAAAAATAAGCCTGAGCAAACTTTTAATTTATAGGTCCTTGCAATCCTCTCTTTTTTAATTTTGAGATTTTTCCACAGATTCATTAATTAATCGACATCCAATCGAATCGGGTAGAGCTACAATGATACCAAAACTCTCTCTACCGATTTTGTAACACAATTATATGCACACGACTCGAACTCGAGGCAGCTAATTATGACTTACAATCCTTTCTTAATTAACTTTGTTTATAGTGGGTGTGTACCGTTGCAAATTATAAGCACACTATAAATCCTTCTGGGATGGAGCTACTATATGGGTTATACCTTTAGCACATGTAAAGACCAAGTTAATTAGGTGATATAGTCCCAAGTATGAAGTTAACAGATAACAAGAGAGATCGGGTATGTGTGTGTATGACTCAAGGTAAATGGGCAGAATAACGATACATAAGATACCTTCCCTCTGTATCCAGAGGGGTATTTATAGATGAAGGTCATGTTGATATTCTGTGGGTTGGTGAGAAGAGGGTCAACTCTTCTTGGGTTTCGCCAAGGGTGGCAGATGCTGCTAAGGGCGGCAGGTGCTACTACGGTTGCAGCGATGCACCCTCTGTGCCTGGCGGTGTCAGCATGCGACAAAGGGCAGTTATCTCTTATGGAATCTATGGCGGTCTCATTGAGAGTTATAATCCCAAGATGAGACATTTTGGTATCTCAACTAGGGGACATCAGCGTATTGGGGATTGTGAGGTTGAAAGTTGGTAGGGCTTATGTGGACACAGGTTTTGGGCTTGGACCTTTGGGCCGTTATGTTGTTGGGCCATCCGAAATAGGGTGTAAATAGGTTAGACTTTAGCTTAAATAGGTCAGATTTATGTAAAAAAATATTGGGTATGGCCTAGCCTATTAGCCTGTGTAGGCCCTAAATTACAAGTCTGATCTAACCTATATTTAAAAAATATAAGCATTGGCTTAGGTCTGTTAGCCTGTTTAAGCATATTAAACATTCTACAATTAAAAGAATTACTAAAATAATATTATTTTATTATTTAAAATTATTAAAATAAAAATTTTATTTATTATATTTTAAATAAATAATATGATATAGACCTGCCTGTAGGCTTAGAAACCTAACATATACAAAAAAAGCTTATGCCTTGTTTTCTAGATAGGTTTTTTTAAAAGTCTGGGTCTGTTCTATTTTACTATTTATAATAAGTCAAGTCTAACCTAATATAGGCTATCTCGTAAGCCCCTGTAGGTTGGCCTATCTCATTTACCCTCCAGTTTACACTATATTTTGTCCAACACAATGATTATATTGAGCTATCTGGTTTAGGCATCGAGTCAAATTCCTATCATTAGCTGTTTCTAATCTGCTCATCTTGATAATTAACAAAGTTGAAGTCTTGAAGTTAATATTAAAATATGCTACTAGTCGTCTAATTAGCTCGTCTTAAAATTAATACTACAGTTGTAATCAAATGCCAACCATTAGCCTGTCTGTGTATGTCTGCTATGTCTTATGTTACTCACTTATTCTTTAACTCGTGTTGACTCGAATTGTGAACTAAATATTTCTTTTGTACTTATTTTATTTCAACTTTATGGTAGTTGAAGATTATATAATGCATATTGTAGAAGTCAAAAATGTCTTTCTTTCTTTTCTTTTCTTTTTTGATAAACAAAAGGGGTTAAACCCCGGCAGACGAACAAAAAAACAACTAACAAGAGAAATTAACTACATGATCTCTCCCTACAGATGCAAGCTCCGCCATAAATAACAAAAAAAATTCCAGTTGGAGGATGTCTTTCTTTTTAATATTGAAAAAACTAACCAGACAAAAAAGTATGTTTTAATTTATATTAGAAGAAAGCAAAACTAGTTTCTTCTATGTCTTCCTCTTCCAATGAAAAAATAATCAAAACTTTGATAGACACTATCTTAATTAATTGCCTCTCTTGTTTGCTTTGTGCGATTTAATTAACCATTCAACAAGATTTTCTTGTAAAGTCAATTGACTAAGTCAATTTTCCATTTTCAAACGCAAGTTATTGATTATTATTAGTTAATGAAAGGTGATTGTGCGGCAACCCAATGCATTCTATAACCTACAAGTAAAGGAAGAGTATATACAAATCGAATTGAGGGAAATTGTTCGTTGACTTCATAACTCAGCATCAATGACCCCTCACCTCGAGTTTTCTCTTCCCATAAAGCGTTTTTGTTTAGATATGAAGAATTTAATTGACCCGATAACATCCATATGGTGTGGCTTGCTCTTCCAAAAGAAATTTTTTACATTCATAAAGATTTGAACCCAAGACTTTATTTAAACAGAATCAAATAAGTATCATTTGAACCAACTCCTTTCGATTAATTTAGAGATAAGATATTCTCTTTAAATAACAATATATTTTATATCTATTTCTATAACAAAATATGCATCAAGCCACAAGAACTGATCTAGTGGCCGATGAGGGGTTTTGATCTAGTGGCCGATGAGGGGTTTGGATCAATGTTGTAAAAATCAGACCGGACTGGTTGGGTCCACTCGGAAACCATTGAACCAGTCATTTGACTTGTCCAGTTATCACATTGGATTGGCCAAATACCAGACTCGGTACGACCCGACAGATTTTGTTGAAAACTGGTGACCCGATCAGTTAACCGATTACCCGGCCCAGGTTTTTTTTAAAAAAAATTCCAAAAAAATATATGTAATTGACATATTTGAGTGATTTGTTGCTTATTGACTTATGTACATTATGTATTTGCAATACTAATATTATCTCAGTTATGCACTATACAAGGAATTTTGATTTGATTTATATTCAGAGATATCTTTTACTGAACCTGAAACGCCAATATCACAAGCATTATATGTTTGTTGGATCCTTTATTAGACAATAATGTATATTTATTATTTTTATTAAAATATTTAGAATTTATATTATTTTTTTCAATTATTTGAGTGTGATTATAATTTTTTTAATATAAATTATAGATTTATGTATAATCATCGGGTCATGCGGTTCAACTAGTGACCCATTGGTTGACTCAGTACCTCGACCGGATAAAGAACCGAGCCGATTTTAATAACATTGATTTGGATAGATTATATTGGATTATGAGTTTCATGTCTACTTGTATATGGAAAAAAAAAATATGCCTCACCATTGGTGACTTATAAGCAGTGTTTTAAAATCCTGCCCCACTCCGGGGTCGACCCCTCTGTGTCACTAACCCCCTCCCTCTGAGGATTCGGGTTAGTAGTTGGACCCTACTTGCACGTTGACCCCTTTAACCCCTGAAATCCCACGGTTGAACTCGTGACTCCCAGATTAGAGGGGTCAAAAGGGTCACTGCATTTATTTAAAAAAAATATATACACAAAATGACTTGTTTGACGAGTAAAAAAAAACAAAAACTCGTTGCTGGCTAGATTTAGAATTAGATCTAAAATCAAAATCGTTCTTTTCCTTCTCTTCCGATCTTCTCTCTCAGACCCAGACCCAGTCTCCTTGTTCTGGTGATCTCCTCCACCGTGCTGGTTCTTCTCTCCCTCTCGTTAATTTATCGTGACCGTTAATTTATCGTGTCGCCGCCTCTCCTCCGCTATTCTCTATTGGGTAAAGGATCTTTTTTTCACATACTGTTAATTTTTCATTTCTCCATTGAAATATGTGTTTTATACTTTGATTAGCTTGTGAATATTGACTTGTAAAAGTAATTGGTTGAATTATATTAAGTATATTTTGAATCTTTAATGATTGATAGTTTGATTTTTTTGAATTTTTCATATATAATATATATTT